GTTAAAAAATCACATGTTTAGCTTAACGATGCAAATTTGAATTCTGATCAACTAGAATATCCCAAACTTGTTGCTTATAAATAGAGTCACTATCTGTGAGCTAGAACACGAGTTTTGAACACCCTGAAATACACAAAAGCTCTCTCGAATCAGAAATTTCCCAAAAACTCCATTGTTGCACAGTTCTTGACCTTGAACCTCAAACTCACATTTCCCTCGTGCGTTTCTTGGACTTTTAGTTTCTAAAGCTTCCTTTCATCAAGAGTAACTCATCCTTGTACCTGTTTCACTTCTATAACACCATTTTCCCAGTCTTCTATAACCAAAAATAGAGCATCACAATTGGACTTCTCCAGACCATTTCAGCCACCCTCAGCTCAAGCCAACCATTGCATTAGCTTCCTAGAGGTCCAAGGAAGCTAACCTGATCATCAGCACTTCCTGAAACAAGCTCAAATCCATTTCACGATTTCCAGTTTTGAGGTATTTTTCTTGAACTTCTATCTCATTACTTAGGCATTGTTAGGCTTGCATTTGTGAAGATAAAATATAGACATCATTGCCCTGAAGCTGTACATGTCCATAGATTTCATTTATTTTGATTGAGCTAGGAGAATTTTGAGTTTGAACTTTCTGAAATATTTAGGTCAGAATTTGGTACTATTAAAAATTCTCATTCATATTTGATTTATAGTTTGTGATATTTATATGGTTGGATTCGTGTGACAAAATGAAGCAATTTTCATGTTTACATTTTTGCAAATGGTTGAGAAATGAGCAAGTTACAGATCCTTTGGCTGGAGGTTGAAGATGAAGTACAATCAGGACGCATTTTGTGTTATGTATTTATTATTTCATACAAGTTAACAGATGTATAACCACCCCAGTTATAAAGCGCGCGCCTGTTAACCTTTGGGACCTGGGTTCGAGCCCCAGTGATACCCTTTTGTTCCTTTTTTTTATACATTTTTTCTCTTTTTTTCAGCAAACAGGCGCATGGGCTTCTCCCCTTTGGGCTTTTATATTTTTGCTGACTTCTAACCCCTTCTTAGTTTTACACCCCTGGCCCATTTCTCTTTATTATTTCATTTTTTTTTATTTCATTATATTTTATTTTCTATAATATATTTTATTATTATTAATATTAATATTATTTTTATCTTTATTAATAAAAAGTCCAAAAATATTTTTACTTATTATTTACACTTATACATTTTTATTTATTTTTCTTTATAAAACAAAAAGATTAAAAAACATTTTCTTAAACAAATTAATTTTTTTTTAATAAATATTTAGACTTAGGTTTAATTATTATCTTACTTTCTAAATTAAAATTAACTTAGAATTTAAGTTTTATTTTAATTAATTAATCTTCACTTTATTTTCATTAATTTAAAACCTTTTATATAAAAAACCCTAAAAAATATTTTTTTTAACCTAATTTTCTTTTCTTAACTAATTTAGGTTGAATATTATTATCTTTAATTAATTATTTTTTCTTCTTAGACATTAGGTTAAAACCCTTAAAAACCAAAACAAAATCATTTCTTTTTTTTACATTCTTGCATATTTATTTTTGTACATTTATTTATTTCAATTACTGTATAAATTCAACATGGTTGTAATAGACTAATTAGGCTTTAAATTCTTGCAATCTCCATTCAATTTGTACACCCCCTTCCCACAAATCATGTAATAGCTTAGTATTTTTATTTTCCGCAATTTAAATGCTTTATATTCAAATGCTAGTAATTAGGGTTTGTATGGAGAGAACAAAATCAATCAAATAGAAAAACTTAATTCAAGACAAAATCAAGCATGAAAACAATACTCTTGCACACAAGCACCCCTAGGGTTATCCCACTTGGTTGCCTTATACAAAGTGGTCATATTACGCATGTAAGGTATCTTAGCAAAAACAAGTAAATACAAGATCATAGTCCCTCGATGACGCTATCTAAGTTGCCTTACAAATGATCTTAGTCCCTAAAAAAGAATGTTAAGATACCTTACAATATTGCTAATCATGGATATACGATGACCCACGCCCGTCCCGTTCACATCCAAAGATAGGGTTACTTACCAAATCAATGGTAAGATAACAATGTCAAAGGAAAAGGAAATGAACAAGAAAGACTTTTGAGTAGGTAAATTGTTCCTAGTTAATTGCTCCATTTCAAAACAAAAACATCCTTGCTATTTAAAAAAAAAACACCAACACTTTCAAAAACATCTTTCAAACTTGAAAACATTTTCAAAAGATCAAACACTTTGTATACATTCTTACGAACGAGAATCATTACAAAGTTTGCCTAAACAATGACCTCTTTACAAAATACTTTCAAAAAACTACACAAAACACAATTTCAAACAAAAGTAAGTGATCTAGCAAGTAACTAAGAGCCCATGGAAAACCATGGATGAAGAGGGTGCTAATACCTCCCCTTTTCATAATCTACCCCCCGAACTCAAGAAATAATCTCAAAGGTATTTCCTGTGCTTTTTCACCTTTCCTTTTGGATAAAAGAAAAGTCGGTGGCGACTCTTGCTAACCGCAACATTAGTGATCAAACGAAAAACAACAAAGTCAGTTCTTCCACCATATCACAATAGTCTTTGAGGTGCAGCTCTTGTATGTCAATTTGGTGCAAATATGGAAGCAGCATAGCAGGACTGCTTTGCAGCAGTTTTGGAGTGTTGTGGCAGCTTGGTGCAGGACTGTTTCACAGCAGACTATTTTTTGACCAGACTCATCAAAAGACAAAACACCAATTGTGTGTCCTTGGAATGGACCAATTGTGTGTCATTCGAAGGGGCCAAATGTATGTCCTTCGAATGGACCATGTGTGTGTTCTTCGAAGGGGTCAAATGTATGTCCTTCGAATGGACCATATGCCTGTCCTTCGAAGGGGCCAAATGTATGTCCTTCAAATGGACCATATGTGTGTCCTTCGAAGGGGCCAGACATATATCCTTCGAATGGACCATATGCCTGTTCTTCGAATCCAACAAACTCAGTTTCTTTGGATGGACCACCAAACATGTGTCTTTCGAATCCACCCATTGTGTGTCATAGTGTAGAAACTATGTGTATTAAAGGGTTTAAAGGTGGAATCGAAGCATACATGAGGGGAGTCATTGCCTTGTGGGTTCTAGTATGAAGGAAGTCATTGCCTTGTGCATGCTAGCATGAGGGAAACCCTTGCCTTGTGCATGCTGGCATGATGGGAGCCCTTTCCTTGTGAATCGAAACAGATTGCTTCGAAGGAAAATATTGCCCAATCGAAGCTTGTATAAAGATAACCATTGTTTTGTGAATCAAAGGCAAGCATGCAGGAGACCACTGCTTTGTGAATCAAAGAAAGCATGCAGGAGAGCACTGCTTTGTGAATAAAAACAAGCATGTAGGAGACCACTGCTCAAATGAAGCTTATGGACCAAAGCTTGCTCAAAAGGGACCAAATGCCCAATCGAAGCTTGTAGACCAAAGCTTGCTCGAAGGAGGCCAGATGCTCAATCGAAACCTATGAACTAAACCTGCTCGAAGGAAGCTAAATGTCTAATCGAAGCTTAAGATTCAAGTCTGCTCGAAGGAAGCTAGATATCTAATTGAAGCTTAAAAATCAAACCTGCTCGAAGGAAGCTAGATGCCTAATCGAAGCTTAAGAATCAAGTCTGCTCGAAGGAAGCTAGATGTATAATCGAAACTTAAGAATCAAACCTGCTCGAAGGAAGCTAGATGCCTAATCGAAGCTTAAGAATCAAGTCAAACTTGCTCTTCTTCGATTTGATGTTTGAAAGCCCAATTAAAAATTCAATTGTACTTGTGCAAACTTGAACTTTTGAAAATCCTTGTGAGGAAATGTCTTGAGAAAGGAGAGGGAAAATTTTGGGGTATAACACTAGCGACCGGACCTACGCAAACGGTTATATCTGATGATTATTTAGGATGTCACTTCGGTTGCATGGTTTAATTTATTTCGACTTTATTATGCACTATGTATTTATTACTTTATAAAAGTCATGTTCTTTATTTTAGTTGTATGGTTTAATTTATTAAAAAAAAATTATAGTATAGTTATAACATATCGTCTAATTCATTTGAGTTTTTCTAAATCAAAGTCAAAAACTACTATATGGTGTCATTATGGTGATGCATCTTCGAATTCTATATGGTGTGAATATGGAGATGCATCTCCCAAATAATTTATATAAAAAAAGTGTATTAAGAGGTGCATGTTGTGTACATTAAGTTATTCGGATATTCATCTCAAGAATAAATTTTGAAAAGTATATTGGATTGAAGATGCGTTTGAAGATGTATCTTTAAAATCTGAGAGACAAATTATAATTTTTATAGACTACTTTTTTACTGCTTAGGATGAGATTAGTAATTTAGTTTTTTTCCTCTCATTTGAAGGACCCTCACTTAATTGGCTTCTTCAACTACACAGTCATCATCATCGTGTTCCAGCTCCATGACAACTTCTACCACACACCCTTCCCACCACCATAGAAAAAAAGAGTAAAAGTTACATAGATAGAGCAAAGGGTCTCTAGTCTACAAATAAATAGGTAGAGATATGAAGCAGGGATGAAAGTGCACCAGAAATAATGGTTTTGGAAAAGTAAAGCAAAGTTGATAAATGAGAAAGAAGAAGTTGAGATGGCGTGCATAGGCTTAAGGTTGAAAGAGACCCAAACTTTATTTTTATCTAATTTGTTATATCTGAATAATACGATGATACGTCAGTTACTAATTTGATGAAGATCTGAAAATGCTTATGTCATGAAATAAATAAAAATTAAACTCAGAAAAACACTTTAAATAGAACATTAAAAAGATGACACATCTTAATAAGGATTGAAGTATAGGATTAATTATATGAATAGATAAACAAAATTTGTTACTCAAGTCACAAAGTCTTTGATTTTATTCCATCTTGTATTATTTACTCCAATCAAAGTTTCCTCTACTAAGCAAGCAATATTGATAAACACTAGTGATGATGAGGATCTGGCCCAGAAGGTGCTACTCTCTCCAATTGGTCACCAAGCATTGACCTCTTGTGAATATACTCACCATTAATTCTCACAATATTTTTGAGCATGTCACTTAATAGTAGGTCACTTCTAACCTTTTTAGCACTCATCATGGTTAAGAACTTAGGAAAAACTCTAGCTTCTGAACTCATAAATAATGGAAGAATAATTAGGAAGAGAAACAATGCTCTTGACATCATAGTAGTAGCCATGAGCTTACAAAAACTCAAGTAACAAGAAAATTCTAAATAGCTAAAAAATGCTATATGCTGTGTATGTTTTGAAGTAGCTTATTTATAAGTAAAAAAACATATTATTAATATAAGTGTTTTTTTATACTTATAATTGAGTTTGGATAAATGAGTTTGGATAAAGTAAGTAAACACTTACTAACGTCTTATCTTTCTTTTGGATACCTCATCAACTTTATGATGTTTAATTTGTTTTGTACAAGTGACGAATGTACTTTGTTTTAATTTAGTTGGAATAAGCTAGTTTTGGTTGGTTATTTTCCTCTTAAGGAACATGAATAGATGTTTAAGCCGACCAATCCCATTCATAAATTGTCCTTTCCACGCTAGAGCTCATGTTTAGATAGATTAAAGAGAAAAGTGAAGACATATTATCCTCTAGCCAACCTAAATTTGCATCAATTTACATAACATGATGAAAGTGTTTGGGTTGGGTTCTATAAGCACATGACAACAACTATATTTCAAATAAGAAAACAAAGGAGAAAATCACATGGCCACGCAAGAAATGACTCCAACTAACATGGTGTTTGTTTGGCTATGCTTAAGGCTTTGTTTGGGATTAAGAGGGAAAGATGGGGGAAATTCTTCACTTTTCTTGAAAAGGGTTGGATGAAAATATTTATGAATACTATTTATTAGTTTTAAAGTGTTATAAAGAGAAATAATAAAACCCTCTAAAATAGTTTTTTCATTGTATTATTTCAGATGATATAGTCTTTCTTGGAGAGTCGAAAGAGGAGTTAAATGAGAGGTTGAATATTTAGAGACGAACTTTAGAAATATATGGTTTTCGCCTAAACAAAAGTAAGTCGGAGTATATGGAATATAAGTTCAACAAAAGAAGCAGTGTTTCTAATTTAGAGGTGAAAGTTGGAGACTATATTATCCCTCAAGTCACACGATTTAAATATCTTGAGTCCGTAATACATAATGATGGTTGAAATGGAGAAAGCAATCGAGTCTTTTATGTGATGCAAAGGTACCGCTCAAGCTAAAGGAAAAGTTTTATCGGATTGCGGTAAGACCTGCAATTTTCTATGAGACTCAAAATGTAGAGCAATTAAGTGATGGGAAATTAAGACAAAATAACATAACAATATGCAACGGGTATATAAATTTTCAAACTTGTAGGAACCTTGAGGATCAACGACAAATATAAGACGGCAAACCAAACAAATAAAGGTACAAAAACACCAATATTTTTAACGTGGAAAACCCCTAAATATGAGAGTAAAAACCATGAATTGTCCATATACCAAAGAAAAGTCCCCACTATAATAAATTAAGGATACAAGAGAGTCTTAAAGTGATTCATAAAATAGTGATAACAACTACAAATCACAAAGCAAACTAACTTACAAATAAGAATAAAAAAGCTGAAGATTTTCCAAATCTGCAGCTTCAATGCTAAGCCGATATCTCTCAATTCACACCTTGATTTGAAGATCCAAACGGTAAAAAGTTAGATATATGTGTTATAAATAATCCCACCAATTTTCAGATTGATCAGATGGTGAATGAATCAGGGATCTTCATTTTAGTAAGTGTGTTGCAGAAAAACGGGAATGCGTTTCTCTCCTTTTTTCTCTCTTTTGAATCCATATTTTCTCTCTATTCCTCGTAACTCTAAATTGACACTCTCCACTTATATAAGTGAGACTAATTAGCTATTCATATTTGAGTCTTTCTCCACATATGAAGGGAGCCCAATCCCAATAAATCTCCCCCTCACAATTTTGTGTAGAAAATCGTCAAACCGGTGATATCACAACAAGCTTCAAACTTTCCTTTTGATAGTGTTTTAGTCATCATATCAAAACCATTATAATCTGTATGAACCTTACCTAACTCCAAAAACATAGCATCCAAAATATCATGTATCCAATGATATCTTACATCAATGTGTTTGAACCTATTATCAAAAGTTGCATTCATACCAAGATGAATAACACATTGACTATAAACAAATAACACATATTTGTCTTGAATAAAACCAAGCTCATGCAAAAACTTCTTCAATCAACGTAACTCTTTGAATGCTTCGGTAACGGAAATGAACTCATCCTCTATAGTAGACAATGCTACACACTTTTGCAATCTGGGTTGCCAAGCCACAACTTCCCCTTCAAATTTAATCGTGTAGTCCAAAATAAACTTTCTAGGATCATTGTCTCCAGCCAAATCAGAGTCAAAGTATCTTAATAGAGTAGACTTATCTCCTCCAAAGCAAAGCCTCATTAAAGTAGTACCGCGAAGATACCTTAAAATCCATTTTACAGCATTTCAATGGTCTCTATCTGGATTTGACAAAAATCTATAGACTGTACCAATAACATGTGTTATATCTGGTCTTGTACATACCATTGTATACATCAAATTACCCACAACAGATGCATAATGAACATATTTCATATCAAATGTTTTATCTCCACTTGAAGGACTTTGATTAGAACTCAATTTGAAATGATTATCTAGATGAGTGCTTACCGCCTTAGAACTTTTCATTTGGAATCTTTGTAGCACTCTTTCGATATAATATTCTTGTGACATCCAAAGTCTCTTCTCTTTTCTGTCACACATGATTCTAATGCCAAGAATCTGTTTAGCTGCTCTCATGTCTTTCATGGAAAATGACTCTCTCAACTGCTTTTTTAACCTACTAATGTTAGAAATATTTTTTCCCTACAATAAGAATATCATCAACATATAACAATACGATAATGAAATCATCATTATAAAATTTCTTGATCACACATAACACACTCAAACTTCTTGTACCATTTCCTTTGAACTTGCTTCAACCCATATATACTTTTTCTCAATCTACAAACATGACTTTCTTTCCCTTTAACTTGAAAACCACCGGGTTGTTTCATGTAGATTTCTTCCTCCAAATCATCATGAAGGAAAACCGTTTTCACATCCATTTGCTCAACCTCTAAATCAAGAGTAGAAGCTAAACTCAACACAGTTCTGATTGATGACATCTTTACAACAGGTTAGAAAATCTCATTAAATCAACACCCTTTTTTTGATGGAAACCTTTCACCACTAATCTAGCTTTATATCTTGGAGACTTAGAGTTTCTCTCATGTTTAACTATACAAATCCACCTATTTTCCAAAGCCCTTTTACCTTTAGGAAACTTCACTAAATCATAAGTGTGATTATCATGCAATGATTTCATTTCTTCATGCATTGCATCCAATCACTTTTAATTTTCATAAATTTCCATGGCCTCTTGAAAACACTCAGGTTCACCCTCATTAGTCAAGGTCACATACTCATCAGAATTATACCTTGTAGAAGGTTGTCTATGTCTAATAGACCTCCTAAGTTAAACTTGAGATGATTATGGAGCTTCACCAATATTATCATCTTGTGACATATCATTCTTCTCTTCATCATCATTAGTTGTAATATTCATCTTATCTCTAAGTTGTTGATCACCAACATAATCATATGGCTCATCATTTTGATCATCACCACCAAACCATCTAGATTATGATTAGGTAACCGAACTGGATCAATATTAGACAAACTGATATCTTTCTTGGGTGTAATCTTCTCTATCTTATCAATGTCTTCAATAGTTTGGTCTTCCATGAATACTACATCGCGACTTCAGATAAGCTTATTCCCTACAAAATCATATAACTTGTAACCAAACTCATATTTCCCATAGCCGATGAATATACATTCTTTTGACTTTGCATCCAACTTGGATCTTTCATCCTTTAGAATATGGACAAAAGCCTTATAACCAAAGACTTTCAAATGATCATACTTGATATTCTTTCAAAACTAAACTTTGTTTTGAACTTCACTGTTTAAAGCAACAATAGGAGTGAGATTAAGAACACGCACTGTCGTGTAAAGTGCCTCACCCTAATAATTATTTGGCAACTTAAATTTAGAGAGAATACACCTTACTCTCTCAATTAGTGTTTCATTCATCCTCTCTGCTAAATCATTTAATTGAGCAGTTTTAGGAGGATTCTTTTCATGTGAAACACCATGCTGCTTGTAATAGGCATCAAATGATCCATAATACTCACCACCATTATCATAATGAACACATTTCAGCTTCTCACCGGTCTGCCTCTCTACCGAAGCATGGAATTCTTTGAACTTCTCCAATACTTGGTCTTTTGTCTTCAAGGAATAAAACCATATTTTCTTGGAACAATCATCAATAAAGGTAAAAACATAAAGTGCACCACTAAAGGATTTTACCTTTAATTGACCTTAAACATCAGAATATACCAATTGAAGCAACTTTGACTTCCTTAAGGGAGGATGTCTCTTGAAAGATACTCTAGTCTGCCATGAAATGAGAACACTTCTCCAAATATGCATTCTTTAATCCTTGAAGAACATCCTTTAGGGCTAAAATATTCAGCCCCTTTTCACTTATATGAAGAAGCCTTCGGTGACCTAAAGATGCTTCCACGTCGATAGCATTCACACTGTCCTTATCAATCAAAGCTTTTGTCTAATACAATTTAGAAAGCTTTTCCCCTCTAGCCACAACCAAATTACCTTTGTTGAGTTTCCACTTTCCAGAACCAAAGTGATTGTCATAACCACAATCGTCAAGCATATGCACATAAATTAAATTAAAAAGAACATTCGAAGCATGTTTGACACCTCTAAGCAACAATTACATTCCCATGTTGGTTTACAAGAAAACATCACCAACACCAATTACCTTAGATACACCATCATTACCAATCTTCAATACTTCAAAATCACTAGAAGTATAAGATGTGAAGAAAACCTTCCTTGGTGTAACATGCAATGTAGCACCACTGTCAACTATCCTTATGCTCTTGTCTGATATGAGATTAACAGACTCATGATCACACAAAATAACAAGATCATTACAAGTAGCAGTAGTAACACGATAATCATCATGATCTCTTTGTTTAGACTTACCTTTATTGCATTTGTTATCC